ACTCCTGATTTCAGGAGCCTGATGCCTCGGCACTAGTGCCAGCAGGCAGTGTCCTACCCAGATGTAAAGAAGCTGCAGTTTGCAGCATGACATCCGCAATTCGGGATGTTGGCCCCCAGAAAACGCCAGAAGAATGGTTAGCACCTGCGGGTCAGTGCAATCACATATCCGTCACATGATGCTTTGCTAGGCAAGCCCTCGCTGGGCTGTGCCTGGCGACCATCATCTGTTTCCCAGAAATTGCCCCTGCCATCACACAAGATTGCAGTGTAGTGGCCTGTGTGAGTGTGTGCACCATGATGCAGGATGATCGCTGCCACAGAATACACTGCTTTGAAGGTTTGAAGACCTCGACCAAAGACCGGAACTTGAAGTGTAGCCGGAATGGCCACGTCTTGACGATTCTTGAACGTCAAGCCTCCCCTGCAGCGGTACCTCGCCAGCTGGATGATGAGCACATTGGCAGCCGTGGACAGGGCATGGGGGTGAGCCTGGTGACTCCACGCATTGATGCAGTCCTGCAAGCTACTGTGTGTCGCGTCCAGGTGCATAACAACAGGAGAAGAAAGAAGGCCTCGGTCCTGACAAACGATACCCTGCGGTGTGCCCAGTCTAGCCTCCCAGGAATATTGTAGCTGAGGTGGCGACATAATACGGAAAACATGCTCCATGAAATCCACGACATCATGCTGGGAGGCTGGCTGCCTCCATCCTTTCAACAAGCTTCTCCAAGAAGGTAGCCTGCTGATTGTGAGTGGTCGCTGAGATGTATATAAAATGTCGCGCCAAGCCTGAATCTTTTCGCCAAAAAGTTGATACTCAGGAGCCTCCAGCCGATGGTGACACCATAAGTACATGTAGGCAAAAGCATTCATGTAGCACTGGTTGGATGGGTTGTGCAATTCCAGCCTACAGATGCATTCATAAGCTTCTGTACCTCGTTGGCAAGGCCCCCACGGCGAAGGCCTTCTCTCCGGACTTGTAGTCCAATCACCTGAAGAGCCGCAAGGCCTGAGATCGCCTCCAGGATTGCCCATGCCAGCTCCACTCCCTGTGCGCGCAGCCCCACCTCCAGCAGAAATGTGCTGGTGCCTGTCTTGGCCACTGATAAGGAGTGCGTCGCATTGAACCTGTGTATGACATCCTTGTTCAGGACTATCTCGGCAAATTGACCCACTTTGCCAATCAAGTCTTGATGATTCACAGGCGGGCGTGCCTCGTCGATCACCAGAGCTTGCTGCTCCCCGTCCCACCTCTGATAGTTCCAGAGCCCGTCCTGGTTGAGCCAACCCTTCTCTTGGAGCACCTTTTGCTTCTCCTGGCTGCTGCTGATGTCCTGAAGAGAGCCCAGGAGGGCCTGGAACAGTGTGTGAAGGAGCACAGCCCGAACCGGGGTATCCATGAACTTCGTCTTCGACTCCTCTCTGTACTTTTCGGCAGTCTTGTACAACAGAGCTACTGGCCCCGAGGGGCCCGGCTTGAGGTACAAGGTCCAGGCTGAGTTCTGCTTCAGGATTTGGAGCTGTGTCTCCTGCCGAATGATGAGTCTTCCCATGGCATGCACCAGGGCATGAAGTTGGGGCTGCTGTTGGTTGCCCTTGCCCCGGCCCTTGTTGTTGCCCCACTGACCGCTGAAACCAGGTGAGCTTCCGTTGTCTGAGGGCCGTTGGCGCTTGCCCGGTGCACCCTCCAGCTTGGCTGCTTTGGTGGGAGGTCCCACATTCGGAGGTGGGCTCCCCGTTCCGAACAGTGCATCGCCGAAACCCTGAAGGCTGTTCTGAGCCAGGTCCCCGAAGACTTCCTTTATCTCCTGATCCAGGGCCGCCATCAGTTGCAGCAAAGCTGAGACAGAATTGCCACAGAACAGGACAGGCGAGCTTATGCAGTCTGGGGATGGCAACTGACACGTGACAGTATAGGCACGGGTTCCCACAGCCTGTATATGATGCACACAAGGCAGGTGTTTTGTGATTGTATTGTTGCATGAGTTGCTGGTGGCTGTGTTGGTAGTGTAGCTTCATGACTTTGGAGGAGGCAACCCACTGTCCACACACTAGGCAGTGTTGCCTGTACCGCTGTTTATGCGAGATATGGAAAACAGCATTAGCAGCATACTTGTGAAGGAGTTGCTGAATCTGAGTGTCTGAAAAGACTGGCGGTACGGGCTGCACTGGCTGTTCAGGCGCTGTCGAGGGTTGTGGCAGGAACGAGTGTCTCACACTGCAGTAATTGCCCTCAACATGTCGTCTGAGAAGCTGCCAGGTGGAGAACTTTTGGTTGCAATGCGAGCACTGGGGTAATCCTCCTAGCGAGTCCAAAGTTTTTTGATAGGGTTCAGGGGGTGCGGCTGCAGCCTTCTCAGGATGGCATTTCGCTAAGTGGGTCAAGAGTGCAGCACGAGTGCTATATGAAACCCCACATTCAGGACAGGTCTGGGGTTGGGTAGGGGTCGGTACCGGGATCAATTGTGAGGATTCTGGCATATGATGGAGGCTGGTCATCACTGTGCGCCACCAGGAGCTGGCCGGCAGACACACATGTGCATCCAAAGTGGATTGCTTGCGATGTCCTTCCCGCGTCAGCAGAGACACCAACATGAGGCTAGGGAGTTGCAGCCCAGCCTGTTGCATGACTTCGGTGTTTGTCTTGTAGGTCAGGTGCACAGGAAGCCGCAATATGGCCCTAAGTTGACGAACAACTTTAGTCTCTAGGAGCCGATGTCCAGCGGGGGTGACCCCACATGTTATCAGACCGTATGAAAGTGTCGTCCAAATGCATGCGCACCATAAGCGAACTCTCTGTCCCTCACTAAGGTAGTGTTTCCCTTTCAGGATGGTGCCGAGTCGACGGTATACTGCATCTCCTTTTTGGAGCCTGAACTCAAGCGTGGCATTCTCAAACGAGGTGTAGTTAATTTGAGTGCCTAGGTACCGAAACTGTGTTACGATCGGGATTCTGAGACTGCCACCGAGAAGTGGTATGCGAAGAATGGGGCCATCAGGGCCTTTGCAGACATACTTCCGACGGATTGAAGGTCCCAGCGATCCCCGTAGGGCCAGCACTGCTTGTGATTTGGCATCACTCACCTCCATACCAAATGCTTTGAGGACCTTAAAAAGAGCCGTGATGCAGCTTAAGAGCTGTTCGAGCTCATGCAGCGAGGAAAAGGTCCCTGCTGCATGGTAATCATCAGCGAAAATGGTAAGCATGGCACAGATTCTTTCATAGGAGATGTAACCTTCCAAGCGACAACTTATGGCGTGGGAAAAGATTAGCCACAACAGTGGCGATGCAGAGCAGCCTTGGCGTATACCTTTTGTGGCATCTACTACTACTACTACTACTACTACTGCTGCCACTGCTACTGCTCCTACTGCTCCTACTGCTCCTACTGCTCCTGCTGCTCCTACTGCTACTGCCGTTGCTCTAATGCTGCTGCTACTACTACTACTCCTCCTCCTCCTCCTCCTCCTCCTGCTGCTGCTGCTGCTGCTGCAGCTCTGTCGTGACCACAACATGCGGTCCAGGCTCCACGCCACCGCACCACCACATCCACAGCCACAGCCGGACGGAAGCGAAAGCTGCTCCACAGCTACATCGTGCGTGGCGGGGGAGGGAGGGCGAACACGTGTGGCGGGAAGGAGGAGGAATAGGCCGAATCCTCACCCTTGTATGGAATGCAGTGGCAAAAAGAATCATGCTAGGTTATTAGGGATTGCAGAGGAAGACGGTAGTGAAGGACGTCGGGAGCCTGAATCGGCAGGGACTCTGTGGGGCTTACATAAAAGATGGTTCGTGGTGTGTTGAGACGACCAAGATTGACTTGTTGGGGTGATGGTTCAACCCTATTTGCTGGAAGACGCGTAGCGGGGATTGTGTCGGCTTTTGTTGACAAATTTCAATTTTTACGATGGTAGTGATCAGGATTATCGAATCTGTCTGTGAAGGCTGGCATGCACAGCACATTCGCATGGGCCGAGTGAGTTTCTGGTTATACCCTTTACATCGCACTGGAACACTTCTAGTTGCTTGCAGACGGCAATCCAGCAAAAATTCTTGATACCGCTGTTTGATGTTGTAGCACGTAAGAGACCAAGTAATCGTGGAACGGATTTTTCAGTTCTCCAATCAGAGACGTGGAACACAAAACATAAGAACCCACTAATCCGTGATTTTTGGTTTCGTCCACTACAAAACAGCAAACCGAAAGTACCCACATTTGTTTGTGCGTGTCTATTTTGCCAGGCTGTTGGGACATTTGGGACCTTGGAGTTCGGTTTCGTCATGTCTAGCTATCCGGTATTATATGAAATATGATGGTATCATGAAGTAGAAGATGTTGCGTGTTCAACATTCAGAACCGCAAAATAGGTGACCAACCTGAGACCTTATCACAACGTGTGCTGCGTAAACGGCTGCGCACCAAACGAATCCGAGGCCGCAAACCCGGCTCGGAGATCGCACCAACATCCGACCGAAGCTTACGCAGAGTCTCAGAGCTTCCTGTTTCCGTTTGCCGCATTTCTGCTGTTAGAGGTGCACCTCCTGTATCCGCCAGACGATCTCGAGGTTCGGATGCGAGCATGAGAACTTAAGAGTCGGTGCTGGATTCCTGGATCTTTGCAAAAGCATTGCCCGTTACATTGTTCCAGGAGCTTATCGCAGGCAAGCATGCGTGGACCAATTTTGCCGCGCACGAACTTGCAGTGCCATGCTCGCAGAGTGGGTTCAGTTTGGCGAGCAGAATTCTTGGCTCCTTGCCGTGCCCAGTCGAATCAGGTGGTACCGGATTCATACAGCTGAGGACATGAACCTGACGTGGCTGGTCGCCTGTCATGATGAGGTGGTGGCTGGAGCGAAGGCCGGGCGAACGGGCTGAGCCGTTTTTGTTTGTGAGCTGGACGAGTCAAGGTGTTGCATTATCCCGCCACACATTTCGAGCGGCTTTGGCGGAAGCGGGGATGCCCAGATCTTTCTCGGCCCTCTCCCTCAAGCAGCAACAGAGCAGGTATCACCATCTCGGCAACTTTCCGTCAATTCGCTTTGGCGGAGATCTGGCTTTCCCCCAAGTTCGTCAGAGTGCTGCATGGGTGCCAGTGTTGCGTTCATGCATGTGCAGGTTGTGCCTCCTTCGTTCCACCTCGAGGCACAGCCTCGTGCTGCGCGTGCCGCTGTTGCCGCAGCTTGGCCAGCGCTGATTGCGAATCACGTCGCTTGCTGGATGTTCAAGTTTTTGGCGTCAAGCTCGCACATGGACTGGACATCTGAGAAGTGTTGGTGCATGGTGTGTGTTCTCGTTGAAATCATATCTTTCTCTTTGCATCCAGCCCAATCTAAGAATCTAGCCAAAGGTTTGCAAAAGACCTTCCAACGGACATGACACCTCGTAGCTCCAAGTTTTTGGAGCGGCTACTATGGAACATCGATGTGTTGAGCTTCGTTGCCATGGCACAGCGCTGTTTGTTGGATCTCCATGAGAATGAGTGGCATAACATCCCAAGGGTTGTTACAGGAGGCCACCAGTGTACGCTTCGACTCCATGTCGCGTCGGAGGGCTATTTGGTGGTGCCTTGCTGAAATGAAAGAGTTTTGTATTGTGATTGGGCCAGAGGGCGCCCAGCCATGCACAAGCCATGCATAACCCAAGAAGGTCAAGGGGGTGGGTTATACACGACATGTTTTTTCGGTGAACTGCTACAGGAAGACATGAATCGTCATCCACTCCTCTTCAATACATGTAGCGCTGCAACCGCAATCGTGCCTCTTCGGTACGACAGTGTATGCTAGCTCGCTAAATACACCATCAGACATCGAAGGTGTCGTGTCAGCACAGGTATCGAAGGTACCTGCTATGAATCAGGTCTCCGAATGGCCGTGGCCATTTCGGCTAGGAGGCCTCCTAACGGGAGGCTATTTTGAAGAGATAGGGGGAAGGGGAACGGGGACGTGGTCCCCGCTTTGAGCTATGGTGGAAAGCCCCACGGAAGTGGTGCTAAGCAGCCCGGAGGAACCCCCCGAGGGGGAAGATGTCCTGCAGGATGGGCTAGATCATCCGCTACAGGGGGCGCCTTTGCTAGCCCCGGACCTGGTCGAGGATATCGACTTCGGACTGCTGGACAGAGCCCGCAATCTCCTAACGGACCAGGGGATGGGCACGCTAGAGCTCGCAACACAGGACCTAGAGGATAGCGAGGCTATTGCAAGGCAGATCGCTGTCGAGCTAGGCCTCCCGTGCCCCAGCTATCTTGCAGAAGCAGTGTTTGACTGGATACAGGACGCGAAGAAGCAATCCAACCTATACCACCGGGCAGGTGGTGTTCTTGCTGGAGATCTAGAGTGGAGGCTACTATCGCCTCCGGTAGAGAGAGGCGAAGCTAGCGAACCCATGGAGCAAGAGTGGCAACCGCCACCTGGTGAGAGGAACAGGAAACTGCTAGAGGACGGCTTCATCTCTCAGGCGAGAGAGGAGAGGCTACAGGAGCTATGGGTGCTCAAGCTAAAGACCGAACTCAAGGAGATAGATGCACCGGTGTTGGGAAAGCTACAAGGTAGTTTGGATCCCGACCGAGCCGCTAACCTCCTGGTCGGCCGGACCCGGTCGAGTACCCTCAAGCGCTATCTCACCTACTACAAGCATTGGCGTCTGTGGTTGGGAGAAGCTAAGCTAAGGCTACCTCCAGGCAGACCGGCCGATCTGGTCGACTACCTGCTATCTCGGAGGGACGAACCCTGCGGAAGGACGGTCCCAGAGGCCCTGCTAAAAGCTATCGCGTGGATGGAAAACGTAGCAGAGTACCCACTGGAGCTCCGAGCTACCCACGGGAGGAT